AACTTGGAACAGCTGCAATTTAATCACTAGAGCTATAGGAGGCTGCCAACTTGCTTAATTTAATGGGAATTTCTCCCCCCCACCCCCCGTCTTTCTGTTAGTGTTCCCATTATAGAGGACAAAAATAAAATAATGATCTCTAGAAAGAGAATGTTATTAGAATTCCACCTGTCACCATTCCTGTGTTTGCTAAATGAATCAATTGGACCTCATAATGATACTTGAATTTTATTTTTTTAATTTATTACGGTCTAGCTCAGGGATGTCAAACTCACGGTGTCACATTGTCGTCATGTGACATATTGCAACTTTCCCCCTTTGCTAAAATGGGGGTGGGCATGACCAGTGTGTGATGCATCTGACCTGTGGGCCCCAAGTTTGACACCCCTAGTCTAATTTATTTCTAGTGAGTTTTTTCCTTTTACTGAAAAAATGATTGTACAATAGTTATGTCATCAAAGCAGGACTTTTTCTTAATGACTGTGTGGATAAATGCCTTGCCATTTTGTTATTCCAGATATGTACATATTGAAAGAGAGACAACATTTATTATTGCATTTTAAGAAGTGGGAAAAGTGGCTGTTGATGATTTAAAATAACATGATTTACATTTTCACAGCAGAAATGTAGCATAAGTGAATGGATTAATCTTCCCTTCTGATTTTAGTCAAGGGTTTTGTCAAGGTTCATGACCACATTCACTGAAAAGGGAAGGATTTGCCTTTTTTGTTCCAATTCATCCTAAGGCATTTGACGGATTTTCACCTGATTTTCTGTACTCATATTTTGTTGAAAGCTGAGTTTCTAAAAAAAAGTTAGTTTTTTTTACTTCTAGTGTATTTGTTTCCTATCAAAGACTGAGAGGAAACATGGTTTTATGAAAAAGTTCAGGCATCCCTGATTAAATTGTATGTTTCAGCAAATCCCTGGGTAAACAGAAACTGACATACAGTAAGTACAAAGTCTAATATGGCAACCTTCCTCAAATTTAAATGCATACTTACTATTTAGGTGCAATTGTTTACATATTCCAAATGAGAAAACAATGAATATGGCAGATATGGAAAACTGGACACCCCTTCCAGTCATTACTTTATTGCACTCTTTTTGGCAGAAATGATAGTTTCCAAATCATTCTGCTTTTGCATTTTAGTTTTTTTTCTCCATTCTTTCCTAGTTTAAAATATTTTAATCTGTCCTTGCATGCATTGCTTGTTTTGAGAACTCCTACAAATTTTGAATATTATTAATATCAAGATGGGGGAATATGAAGACATTCCAAAACATTGATATTTTTTTCCCTTTTATGAATGATAGGGAGGTATGTTCCAAAATCTTGTCTTGAAATATCCAGCCTCTTTTCCTCTTCAGGAACTATTGATTTTTGCCAAAGGAGGTAGTAAAAATCGAAGGAGTGTCAAATCATATTACACTTGCTATAGGTGCTGTTTTTTTTATTTTGAATAGGTAATGACTGTTCATATATAATAGCATGCATTCAGATTTATAGAAAGATGTCACATTTACCTTTGTTCGATGTACAAGTTTTGTCAAATTCTGTTTGCTTACAGTTTCATTGAAATGAAATGAAATTTATTAGGCGTCCCTAAACTTTTGTATACAATTGTATGATAAAAAAAAACTTAAAATGTATTAAACTAAATAATTCAAAACAGTGAAATTTACTATGTTAGTTCAAGATTGCTCAGAAATTTCTATAGAAATTGAATAAGTTAATAAATAAATAAGTACAGGCATTTCATTTTGTTTAGCTTCATATGTATGTACAGTAAAAAATAAACCAATTAGGTAATTTAATTGTCATCTGCAATTTGTTGTTGTGTTATTTTTATTAAAAAGCACCCAGACCTGTGTGGAATGTGAAGCACATCAATAGAGAAATCATTCTAACTCCTCCCCCCGCCAAAATATGCATTTTTAAACACAGACGTCTTCCAGTCTGGATTTTTTCCAGTCTGATTAACTAATGTATATATATTTAGTACATACTGTATTCTACTTGATGGAAAATATAACACAGTGCCTAGAACTGGCTTTTTGACTGTTCTTCTGAAATAAGATGTATTTTATATTCTTTTGTGAACAATAGATTGCAACATTTAACTAAGTGAAAAGCCTTTCAATGTTGACATCATGAATATAGAAAAAGCAAATTCAAGTATTTTCCAAGATGAAATGAAAGTAGGCAAACTATATTTGGGCTGCTAAAATCTGAGTGACCATGATAACAAGAAAATTATTAAGTTTTGGAGTTCAGATATGTGTGTTCTTAGTATTCAGACTGAATAAACAAACCCTTGCTTGTCACATGGAGTGAAATGTCCACAAAATATTTTGATATTGATCTTTTGTAGACTGAGAACCCAATTACCAAGTATGTTCAATAAACCTAGGCTACTTCTGTTTCATGACACCCATCAGTATAGATATGGTATGTCTTATTGAACAAATTATACATTGTTACCTGAAATGGTGATATTTCTAGTTCTTGCTGGCTTATTTTCAGCATCATGCTCTCAGAAAGCAAGTAGATTCTAGGGAATCACTCAGGAATGGGTTATAATGGAATCTAGGGCTACTCCTTAGGGCCTTTAAAAGCAATATTTCATAGTGAGACATATTATTATAAAGGTTACAGCATAGATATAATAAGATCACTATTATTAATTCAGTGAGTAGGTATTGTTAAATTTTTGACAAGCTGAAAAAGAACACTTCATGGAGCCTTATAGAAATCATGTCTTGTGGTTACCTACATAGGCACATATGCCTTTTAATGAAGATTGTTGTAGCTGAATAGGCTATCTTGTAGAAATGCATGATTCTGTTCCACCCTGGCAACCTGTAATAACATGTAGGGAAGATGGAGAGACAATCTTAATGTTTTTGCTTCCAATCAATATTATTTTTACATCCCTAATTAATAAAGCATGACATTCTGACTCATTTAGCTTCTGGACTTCTATCAAGCATTGTAGAAACTGAAATGGAACTTCTAGGGCAGGATTGACAAACTCACATTGGCCAGGCAGCGTCACGTGACATATCAGGACTTTTTTCCCCTTCACTAAACCGAGGGAGTGGGGCCAGCACATGACTCATCTGGCCCACGGGCTGTGAGTTTGATACTCCTGTTCTAGGGCTTCTGATTCAAGATGCTGCTTCTTGGTGTCTCATCCATAAAAGGATGAGTTGAATTTGAATTTGGTTGCTTCTGTTATTTCTATGAAAGACTTTTGAGTAACAGGAAAATGGGAGAACTTTAAGGGACACCATATCATAAAACATTTGAAGACAACAAATAACCACCCATTAATACCATTGATACTGGTTTGTAGACATCGCTGAAGTTCAGCTGATATCTCCAGTCACCTTTTATCACAAATTCAAAAAGATGTATAAAATTCACTCATATTTAAGGCCATGAAACTCATCTTCCAGTTTTTCTTCTGTTTAAAATTATGGATCAAAGAGATGAGGAAATCACATAAGAATTCAAAACTAATTAAAAATGTTTACTTCTGCATAAAAGTTGAAATAGCTACCAGCAATTAAACAAGCAGTTTGGATGGAACAATTGACTAAAATGCTGCTAACTGGGTTGGACTGAGGAGTTTCTGTGGCCACAAAATGATAGTCTGACAATAGTGCTAATTAAACCTGCCCTGAAACTGACAAGGTGGTAATCAAACTATGCAACAAGTGTGACATAATATATTAAACTGTAAATAATATTTCAGTAAAATTCCATGAAGTAAAGTTCCATGAAGTCATATATGTAATAGCTTTTCTAAGAAGTGGCTTTGCCTAGAAATGTAATGAAACTCCTTGAGAAGATGTTCCCAAGATGGTTTACCACCTACTCTAACCCTGAGAATAATAAAGGAAATTGACTACTCTATGCTGGTTTTTCTTTTGTTAGCCAGAGTTGATGTGGTTGTGGTTTCATATGTGAGCCCAGGACAGTTGTTCCCATTCTCCATAGAGCTTTTGAAAACTCCAGCTTTTGTGTAATTCAATCAGATACCAATATTTCCTGGTCTGCACTTTACTAAGCCATTGTAAGCCACTACACAAGAGGAACTAAAGCCGTAGCATCATATACAAAGTCAGTGTTATTAAATGATCCCTGAAGTAGACCACTTTGAAGAGCAAAACTCCCTCTAGGCAACTTATGAGAAATATATGGATGATAAAAGTTTGGCAATAAAAGCATAATAGAATATTGATAAAACTGATACACATCCATAGTTGAAACTTGCAACATTGTATTAAAATAAGATGGTTATAATTAACAAGCCACTTATTATAGCTTAGAATAGATAAGCACAAAGGCTTCCAGCCAAGTTGAATACCAACACTATAAAATGTTATTTTCCGTAATTCTAAATTTCCACCTTTGGTACCTTTGTTTTTGTTTTAGGAAACCATTATATTCTGAAGGAAGCATGTCCGGTTTAAAAGATTCCATCTAGCTGAAGCCTGGGAGGCTCCCATGTTTAAAAGTTGGCCTTTAACATTTCTGGCAAGAACATTGTTGTCTAGCCCTTTCACTTGGTTCCTGAATTTCCAGAACAATCATGTCCTTGGCAAGGAAACCATTTCTTTTGAGTAAAAGGTTAAGAATGAGTGGAAATTTGATGAAAAGTTAAATGTGTTCCTTGCATATGGTACCATTGCTGGATTTTCCGGGAAGCAGTGTTTTGTCTGGTGGTAAGGATTGAGGGGACGATTTCTAATTCACTTTATGTGTTCATTAAAAGCAGACAGGAACAAAAATGAAAGTTTATATTTCCTTCACTTTGTTTTTGATCACTCTTTGAACCAGTCATCTAAAGATTCTGTAAAATTACTTGTATAGAACCTTTATAGGCTTAATTATTACTTAATTAAATGGAAGCCCATGTTCAGACTTGAGTATGCAGCATGTTCTTACTTGAGTTGCAATTTTTAAAATATTCTTTTCTTTTTTCTTCCAGATAATAATAGGAGAGGCCCTTTCGGTATATCACAACTGTTTGCACTCTAACTCATTTGTGAGAAATAACTACGTTGCTGCTATTTACAAGGCTCTGGGGACATTCCTTTTTGGTGCAGCTGTTAGCCAATCTTTGACAGACATTGCCAAATATTCAATAGGTAGACTGAGACCTCACTTTCTGGACATATGTAAACCAGATTGGCGTAGTTTCAACTGTAGTGCTGGTTACATTGAAAACTTCAAATGCCTTGGAGACAAAGTAAAGGTTAACGAAGGAAGGTAAGCCTGTCAACCTGTGTGCCTGGCCAAGAAAATATTTTATATTTTCTTTTTGATAAAAGTGGGAAATTAACAATTTTGTAAATAGGGTTCACGACATCTCATCATTTGTCTTCCACTAGCATACAGAAGGTATTGTGCATTTTTGCTCTCATTAACAACAAAAACATTCCAGATTTCATTCCATTAACTAGTACTGTACAAAATAATTAGCATATGCAAATTATTTCTAGTTATATATAAGATTCTAGTTATAAAGCAACTGAAGCCATGAAAAAAGAAAAGTGGAAAACATTTGCATCTGTGATTTGATAGGCATTATCACTTTGGTCTTTGTTGTTCCCTTTTAATGCATAGGCTTTATGCAGAGCTAGACAGAGGTATAACCTAAAGATTAATGTGTTAATTACAGCACATTTCACATTCTTAAGGTTGTTTTTCTGTACAGAATCATTCCTTTTATTTCCTGCTATTCAAGCTGTGAAGTTGTTGGTATGTAGCTGGAGTGGCACCACCCAGACGTAGGAGGAAAGGGATTTTAATTTTTATGGGAATGCCAGGGCTTACAAAAATACAATAAAAAATTAAAGAAACCCACCCAAAAGATCCTTGCAGTTAGGATGGCAATGTGCCATGGATTAGAAAGAACTACCCAGAATTCCATTAAAATCTCAGATTTGTGCTTTTTTGGAATATCACAATCCATTTCCAAAGTCTGAAAGTGAGAGGGAGGGGGAAGGGAGGGGGGAAGGGGAGAGGGAGGGACGGAAGGAAGGAAGGAAGGAACCAAATTACTTGTGGCATGCCCAAACCCATATTAGAATCAAAATTCCTTAAATTTTTAGATTATTGCCTAAAAATACCAGAGGAACAAAATGCTTCTAAATGAATTTATTTATATTACTGCTGAAAGAATATCCATGTTTTAAAAGAAAGTCAGTAAGGAAGGAAGATTGCAGATGAAAGACACTTAAGAATTAAAACATTGCTTTTCCTCTCTAAGCACAATTATAATTGTTGGTGTGAAAACGTAGCTGTATTCCATCCACAGTATACTAAAGATTGTCACTTTTTTTCTGTCTGTTTTGATCACTTTTTTTCTTTTTGAAACAAGCTCTATCATGACTCAATTTTAGTCTCTTTGGGGTCTATATTCTGGTCTCCCATTTTTCTCTTGTTCTCCTCACGTTCAGAAAAACGGCAGCTTCTTTCTCCCTTGTTTATTTTTTCTTTGCAACAAATGCAGACTGTTCATACTGAGTTAAATCAAGATTTCTGTAGGAAACATTAAATCTTACTTCCTAGTTATTCTGATTAAGGAATTTGCTTCTCTCTTCAGTACATTAAAAAGAAAATGATAGGTCATGTTCTTTATTCCAAAAAAGAAGTAAAATTCAGGAATCGTTTTATTAAAAATGTGTGCTGTGGATCATTGGAGCTTCTTTTGGAGATGAAAAAAATATTTTCATTTTCACTTTATTTAAGTAAGTGATTCGGGAGGCAACAAACAGAAAAAGTGACAGCCTCTTTTAAGGGCTTCTCTTGCACGGTATAAATTGACTAAGAGCCAAAAACGATATCCACCTTCCCCAGAGGGAACTTCTCCCATGATGGATGTTTGGATCTGGGATATCCACCCAGTTTTGGAGGCAAATTTCTAACCTCTCTGAATTTAAAAAATAATAATGCTAAGAGCATTTAAAAATTTGGGGGGCTCAGGGTATTTGGACCTTTTTCAGCATACAAGTGATTATGAGTCTTCCAACTCTCGTTTTTTAGCTGAAAAAATGTCCCAACAGCCAGGAGTTTTATCCAGAGACTTCTCTTAATACAGGTCGTGAGTCCATATAAGAAAGAGAACCAGTTTGCTGTTGTGGTTTAGTCCTGAACTCGAAACTGACTCCATAAGCAACAAAACAAAGAAGATCCTTTGCCACTGCAAAAGTGCAATCCTTTTCTCCATCGTTTTTTAAAGAAAAAAATAAATCCCTGAAGTTCTCTTGGCAAGATTTCAGAATAGGTTTGCCATTGCTTCCTTTCTAAGGCTGAAAGAGAACAACTGGCCCAAAATCACCCAACTGCTTCTTCCCCAAGGCAGGACTGGAATCCAGGGTCTCACATTTTCTAGCCTGATTTAACCTAGACCAAACTGGCTCTCCAAACTGAACCTACAAAGTTAACAATGGAGCCTTACCTTTGAGGAAGATTGGAGAATCAAAAGAGAACTGCCATTTTGAGAAAGATAAGTTTAGGTGTAAATTAATATCCTTTTATTGATATTGTGGATTGATCTGAATTGAATTGTGTTTTTATGCTCATATATTTTGCTCTATCTGTCTTACGTATGTATTTGCATATGTATTTTCTCCTGGAAAATTAGCTGCAAGTGAAAGCCTTAATCTACATAATACATGGCTTACATTTCTTTGGAACTGAGTAGCATTCCAATATTATTTAACTCTCATGCATCTTGGCCATTCTGCTAGTCATGGGAAGATTTTTACTTTTTTTCTCCTGAGTGACGATGCAGGGAAGAATATCACGCATAGATCTCTAATAATGAAAGGAAAATAATATTCTGATAGAAGAGAGTATCTCTAGCTCAGGGGTGAACTGCAGAGTCCTTGGTGCTCTGTGAGTTTGGCTGTTTGCTTGCAGATGTTTCATCATCCAGATTAGGTAGCATGATGGTGCTCCATGGAAAATAATATATTTTAACCTCATATACTAATGCAGATAAATGAATATTTTGTAATTAGACAGAACCAAATGTGAGGATTTGAAAGCAAATAGTGCTTGAGAATACATGCTTTGCATGCTGAATTTCTCTGTTCCATTTCCTGGTATCCACGTATTTATTGATTTAGTGGTGGACATCCAATTTAATAAAAATTTCCAATGTGGCTATAAAAACTGATAGAAGGGATCATTTTCCTGTAACTCTACTGAACACTTGCTCGTTTCCATAGACAATTATGGACTAGGTTTTATTCAATACAAAGCAGCTGCATATGGCCATATGATTGACTTTAAATGAACACTTTGAAAAAGTTGACTGCAAATTCTGTAAATGATTCTTAAAATATAAATATTTTACATTTCTCTACAAAATGCATCCCGGGGTGCTTTACAAAGTGATTAAAGCAACTACCTCAATATTGTAGTGATGTGACCTTCTATGCACTGTGTGACTAATATGAACAATGGCTCCTGGCAATACAGGTCATGGGACTAAGCTACAATGCAGAAATCCAGTGATTATACTACCTTTAAAACAGGTTCAAAAACTGGAAAGATGAGAAACATTCAGAGGAGAGTTGTCCTTTGGCTGTGTGTACAGCATGCATTGTTTTGATATTATTCTAATTAAGCAACTAATTACTGCAGTACAGTATGAGATAATTTGAGGATTTAAGGAAGAAAGCAAGAAATTAACAAAGGGTCTTGATTCATAAAATAATCCTGCTATTAATGAAGTCTACAGAAATCCATTGGTGTTATTCATATATCCAGTCTAGATAACTTCCACAAAGATGCTTTAGATCAGTGTTTTTCAGACTTGACAACTTTAAAATTTGTGGATTTCAACTCTGAGAATTAACCAGCCAGCATGCTTTAGAAGATATTCTCCCCTTAATAAATACAATATAACATAGATATCATTCTTTATCCATTGTATAAAATAAAATATGCTATAAGGCAGTAGTTTTACAATATAAAATGGCTATAACATGATGCCTTTCAAGATTGTGGTAGTTCCTAAAAAATATGTGTATAGAGTGTGTTACTTTTGCAAAAGAATTGGAAAAAAATGATTCTTTGCTTGTGGCTGAGCCTTCCCTCAATGCTAACTACTAGATGCTGTGATATTCATAAAGTCACAATTATGTGTTTAATTACTGAATACAGAAGAAAGAAATATCCTGGCTTATTTCATTGAAGTTCAGTAGTTGCTGATTGTAGCATGAACATGTGGCATGCTTGCAAGAATAAAACTGGCAAAATACCTTGATTTTGTTGATGTTACTCATTATCCCTTCTGATGCCCTACTATGACTAAGAATTCATCAATTCTGTCTTGCTGAAAAAAAATCCTTTAAAGCATGAAGCACTTTGTAAATGAGATAGCAGCTTTTTGAAACAGGTGCGGGAATATCTAAGGCTGGTGTTGGCAATCTTTGAACTTCTGATGTCCAGACAAATAAAATAGGATTCTCATTCAAACATTGATAATTGTATTCATCATTGACTTGACTATTTGGGTTCATAAGATATCTGGAGGTATATGCATACTTTTATAAACAAACGTGTATGTATACACACATACATACACATAAGATTACTGTATGCTTTATCTTGTTGCTGTAAATAAAATATACGATCAGATATTCTTTTAGCTCTTAAACCTAAAGCTAAAGACATCAGAAGTTGCACCTAAGGATACTCTGGAATATTTTTCTACTGTAATCTAAAGATTACTGTGTTGTCTCAACTGTAATAAAGTTTTCATGAGGAAAAAGGAGCCTCCCTCAACCATATGGCTGGACAGCTTGGAAATGTTGAGGACTGTAAACCAAGGCATCTAGAGATTGCCAGAAGTAAGGAATTCTCAGCCAGGTAATTTCATCAGAAACTGGAATACTTGCTCACTGGGCTCAGAACCCAAAGAGCCATAAAATTAAATAGTATAAAATTAATATAGTATCTGATATACTATATTTCGGTTATTACCTGATTTTGAACCGTCTGTGTTACTTGGAGTCTCTGTGTTCTTGATTATCTCTCTCCTATGAACTAGTAAACTGGCTTGCATTCAGAAGGATTTCTGCCATTCAGCTGAATTGAATCTAGGGACTGCTACACCTTAGATGTTTCATTACAAGTATTGTCATTTGAATGAGTATGTATGTGGAAGTTCCTAGCAAAATTAACTTCATTGAAAGTAAAATGAACAAATAAAATGGAAGCCCCTGGTTTGTCTGGTGAAAGGATGTTCGGGC